CTGTGCTGTCTTCACAGATGTTTTCTCCAGTCTTACCTAATAATTGGTCCTGTAAACACAGCTCCTCCATGGCCTTCAGTTTAACCTCTGACAGCAGCTTCAACACAAAGCCAAATATGACTTTACAAATTGAGAATTACGCTCCATCCATCTCTCATAAGCAAATAATTCACCAACTACTTATCACCTATAAAACTACACCACAGAACGCTTAGCAAAGTATAAAGTAAAGCAAAATATTTCTTTACCTAGCGTTCTGTACAACTGCATCATTCACTGTTTATTTCTAATCATACAGCCCAATTCAAAGGCACATCTTCATTTTATTAAGAGTTAAACAGAATGAATAAACAGATCAGATCATGTTGCTCAGCACTCCTATGAACATGTAAGAAAGATGATGATAATAATAATAAGCAGATAATCCTGAAATGTCTAAATGGCGAGGTGGCTCTTATTTTTCATAGGTACATGTATTATAAATAAGAGGAAGGCATTAGTCTATCTTTCTCATGTGGTTGACTCAATTCACCAATCTTGTGTAGTCATTTCTTGAAGTCATAAAAACATTAAAAAAAATAGAAGCCATTTCGCCCGTCTTTCTCATTCGGTCAAAATGCCAGAGTGAACGTCAAAGGCTATCCTACCATTCCACTAACCGTCTTCTACGTCCAGGACCTAGAGACCTAAAAGACACATACTGCGCCAAACGTCACATCTCGAACGCGAGGCAAGACAAGATGGCGTACACTTTCAAAAGGAGAGTTAAGTACAATATTGTTTTGGGGGGAAACTGCTAATTCACTGTTGCCAAGGGAAACTGTAACTCCCATGAAGGGAAGCTCACCATGTCTCCCGAGGCTGGGACCTTAACCGCTTTGCCATCCCCCTCTCCTGCTGCTTCTCCTGTCCAGGGAGCCACCTGCAGCCACCTGCACTCTGAGGGGGTCGTCACGGCGACTATGTCCCCATTAAGAGTGAACTGGCTGCGGACAAAAAAAACATTTCTTATGACAGGAAGCAGCTTTTCTCAGTCGGACGGAACCTTGCCTAGTGGCGTCCAAAAGAAATCCCGCTTTTAACACAGGGCTGACCGTAAATGAGAATGATCCATAGCCGATGAGAGATGATGCTCAGTGGCAGCAGTCAAGGCAGAGAGCATACATTATTATTGCTCCGCATAAACTGAATTAAAATACACTGCTTAGTTGCAGGCAAGATGCAGATTTATCAATGCAATTTAAATTGCATATTGCAAGACATAGAAGATTGATTATTATTCCTTTATGGTTACCATTAATAGTCTGGTCAGTATTACACACTTTGGGCACTAACTACCTTGGCTCGTTAAGCTATCCTTTTGCCTTCTTAACGAAGGTGCTCAGTTGTGAGCCTGGCCAGTACCAGGATGGGAGACCTCCTAGGAAAGCTATGGTTGCTGCTGGAAGACTTGTTAGTGGGACCAGTAGGGGGCGCTCACCAGTCAGTCTGTGTAAGTCCTAATGCCCCAGTATAGCGACAGGGACACAGTACTGTAAAAAAGGCTCCCTACTTTGGATGAGATGTAAAACCAAGGTCCTAACTCTCTGTGATAATTAAAAATCCCAGAGAGTTCCTCAAAAAGAGTACAGGTGTTAACCTGGTGTCCTGGCTAAATTTCCTGCTGGTCTTTACCAATCACGGCCTCCTAATAGTACCCATCTATGAACTGGCTTCAATATTCTGTTCTCCTCCCCACTGATAGCTGATGTTTGAAGAGCGAACTGGCGCACCATCACCCAGGTGGGGGCTGCACATTGGTGGTGGTAGTGGGATTCCCCATTACCTGTAAAGCGCTTTGAGTGGAGTGTCAAGAAAAGCACTATATAAAGTGTAAGCAAGTATTATTGAATCAGCTTGTTACTTGTCACCATCAGCTGGTGTCACAGCAGTTGATGGAAGATGAAGAACAGATACTGCCAAGAGGCCATTTGGCCCATGAAGCCCTTTTGGTCATTAGCAGTTAACTGAACAATACAGCTGTTTTGCAACACTGGATTAGAAACAAAAGGTAGTGTGACAGGAAGGGGGGTTCAAACCTCAAGTCCAAGGCCTGGGGCTCCAGCACCAGGATGGAGTCTCCGTCCCTCAGGGCCAGCTCTTTAATGGTCTTGTGCATGTCTGCCGGTGGAAACACCCTCCAGCCTGAGCCATGAGTGCCAAGCCCCTTCTCTTCCTGGCACAGCAGGAGCTCCTCTTTACCCAGGGCCTGGCGCACTGCTCCCAGCTCGAGGCCCCCAGAGAAGCCCTGGGGTGCCTCCGATAGCCCAGGGTCCTCACCACCAACAGAGGGCCGCACCAGGTTCAGCAGCACCGGTTCCCAGTCCGCACCGGTCTGGACATTCACGCCACCCACCTGGGGAAGACAGGGGAACAGCCCGTTTCCAAAACGCAGAATTCCTTGAGGGCTTTTATGGGGTGGAGTGGTGGCACAAAGTGGGCGGAGGGGTGGTACTGTGGGCTAAGGAAGGTTGCCGGTTCAAATCCCACAGCCGACAGAGGAATCCTACAGCGTCGGGCCTCTGAGCCAGGCCTTTAACCACAGCTGCTCCAGGGGCGCTGTATAAATGGCTGACCCTGCGCTATGACCCCAAGCTTCTCTCTCCTTGTCTGTGTGTCTCATGGAGAGCAAGCTGGGGTATGAGAAAAGACAAATTCCCAATGCAAGGTATTGTATACGGCCAATAAAGTGATCTTATCTTATCTTAGACACCTTGGGGTGCTACAGACATTGTTGACGTGGGGTTATATTTTAAAAACAATCGTTGCACATTTATAAGAAACATCGTTCACAAGATTAGCAATTGGATCATTTAAAAAGTGGCGCAGTGGTCACCATTACTGCCTTAAGGGCTGGGGCTCTGGTTCAATTCCAGTAGTGGGGTGCTGTCCGCATGGAGTTTGTATGCTTTCCTCATGTTCCATGTCGGTCTCTTCCAGGTGCTCTGGTTTCCTTCCACAGTCCAAATGCATACTGGTAGGTTAACTGGCTTTTGGAAAATTGGCCCTGGTGTGAGTGTGCATTTGTGTCTGTCAGCCCTGTAATGAACTGGCGTCCTGTCCAGGTTGTATCCTGCCTTGTGCCTGTTGCTTGCTGGGATAGACTTCAGCTTCAATGAATGGCTTGAAAATGGATGAATGGATCATTCAAAACACAGCAAGATCTTTGGGTCAGCAAGGCACTAGCAATTATGCATTTCTCCTCACTGTAACCTTTTTTAAATTCTCTAATCACTATTTGTCTTGGAAAGCATTCATCCTGGTCAAAAAAGAAATACGTCACATTATGGAAATAAGGGTAACAGGGATATTAACAAATGAAAAACAAAATCAAGCCAGATGAGCCAGTAATAAACTAAATCTCCTATTGCTCTTACCTCTTGCCCATTCCACACAAACAGATCCATCCCATCTGCGATACCAGAGCTGTACAGAGACTGCTGGTCATCTGTAAAAGAACAACGTCAAGCTGTTTCCCCAGAAAAAAAGCAAACTTTTAGACAGAAAATGTTTTACTGAAGAAGGTAAAAATAAGTCACTGTGATCACCCTGCTAAACAAAAATCTTTGAATTATTGTGCAGCTGTCCTAACCAGACTTAAAAGCATTGCTGTTGGATGCAAAGAGCCCAAAGGAACAGTCAAAGAGCCCATAGGGAAAATAACATCAAAATACTTCATACTGAATCTTTAAATCTGCCAGGAGAACTTAAGAGTATTTTCACAAAAGGTTAACATTTGTAACTCAAACCAACTTTTGTTTTTATTTTGTCATGTTACAGAAATATTGAAGTAGGTGTATGACATGGCAAGTGACACCAAGTTCAATGTTTGAAAATCAAAGTTTCAAGAGAAAAAACAGACAAAAGCATTATGAGTTCAGGTCAAACGAGTACAATGGAGAATGGCGTTGCTGAGAATTCAGTTTATCAAAATGTAATTCCTAAAGTTAGAAAATCCCCAATGATATCCTACCAACGGTGCTAAATGAAATGAGGGACATTGCTTATACGCCATTAACAAAACTCAATGTAGAAACCAAGAGATTCAAGCCTGAAGTGTCCGTTCATCAAGCCAAGCTTTCTTGTATGCATACATGGAACCACAATAAGGACCATAGTAGTTTTAGTAGTTCAAGGGGGATATGGCTCTACACAGCTTATATATACACGTTTCCCTACACCCTACCCCTCCTGTCTTTGAGGTAGCTCTCTTAAGAAACACCAGGACTCAGAAAGCATTTAAAAACATTCCTTTCTTATCAGGGAGTTTAGAATAAACATTTTCCATCAGGGAGTTCAGTACAGAAGATGGGAGTTCAGTACAGGGAGAGAGAAGCATATGTGCTGAAGCAAGTGTGATGGCTAGAGTTTAGCGTGTGAATTCAGCAGGAGCCTGTGGGGATCCAAAGTAATAAAGATAAAGGATGAGTGTTTAGATTTAGGTAATGTAATTAGTGGAATACCACAGGCAACAGTAATAGGACACCTGCTCTTCTTAAGATTGAACAATACTACCTAGCCTTATACAATCATATATTATTGACACTGTACATTTATCAATTTTACCAGATGATACCAGAACAGGTTAATTAACAAATACTGAAAAGCGTCTTACACAACCAATTATTTGTTATATGCTAATAGACCATTTTCCTCCTCCTCAGGACTTGAAAGTAAGAATGTAAATCAAGGAATATTTTATTTTTTCCAATGGTTTAAGTTAAAGAAATTTCCAGTACGGACCAGCTTCTCCGTTTAAGACAAGATAGTGAGGCAACCAGATTAAATTATTCAAAACCCACAAAGGCATTAGCAAAGTCAGCTGCAAATGAACTTCTGCAGGATCAACAGTGACAAGAACTCAAGGGGACAATAATAAAAAAACTACTTTGAACTGTAATTTAAATTAAAAACAGGAGGCATCTTTTTATACAAAGGGTTGTCAGTGTCTGGAACAAGCTACACATCCATTGTGTTAAAGATGACACCTTGGTTTCTATCAAGATGTGTTTAGGCGAGATCCTCCCATCAATAAACTACTCACAAACTGGCTTCCTCTTGTTTGAAGCCTCCATGTTCTTAAAATGTAAGAATACTAGTGTAGTAACTGACAGAGAGAAATCTCTTCTATTCTTATTCTGATCTTAAGAATTGTCAAACTCGGAGGAGTCTGCATTTCTACAGTACATACCTGATCAGGTTTATCATTAGTCTAAGTTGACTCTTACCTATTAGGGTGTCATACAGATGAAGGCCTGCTGGTAAACTCTTAACAACTGTAAGAGCCATGTCTCCTTCCCAGGAATGCACCTGAAATGCAAGAGAAAACAAGAATGAGGCAATGCATCTGAATGAATACACCTTCTCATTAAACTTACTGTATAAGGCTCACACAGATTCTCTAGAATGACTTGGACACAAAATAAGACTGCAATATGCTATGAGTTCAAGGAAGTGCATTCTATAAATTATTTAAAACACTATTAGTTTTTTTTATTTTGTAGAGAACCGAGTAGAAATCAATTTCTTTTTGTTTTTTGCAGATAATAATTGCAACAAATATTAGCACTGTGAGAAACTCATTGTCAATTGCACATTCCCTTTTGTTAAACAGAACAAAATCATCCCAGCTTTAGGTAACAAAGATCTTCTTTTATATCAATTATATCCAGTTACTCAAATTAAGACAAAGTGGGTAGCTGTTCTATTACACCTTCAACAACCCCAATTATTAGTCTCATGGGAGAATTCACTGTGTTATGATCCTACAGTACATTCTGTAAGGACTCTTTTTTTTCTTAAATATGCAAGTTTTTGGGAAGTACCTAAAATAAAAATGAGCAAAGATTTCCAACCTTAATTCTTTTGTAAACTATCCCTATTCATCCCAGATTTACATGTATACAGTATAAGAGTTTGTGCACCCTGCCAGTTCATGGTCTAACCTAAGCAGTGTCCGAGCAACTGGCAACTCTGAGACACCCTGCTGCCTTAACATTTCACATAGAGGACCACCTGGTAGCAAACATCACAGTGCTGGGGCCCTGGATTCAATTCTGGTCCTGAGGGTCTATCTGTGTGGAATTTGTATGTTCTCCCTGAGTTTGTGTGGGTTTTCTCCTTGTGCTCAGGTTTCCTCCCATAGTCCTAAAACATACTGGTAGGTTAGATGGCTTCTGTGTGTTTGCGTCTGTTAATGCCGTGAGATAGACTGGCGTCCTGTCCAGGGTGTACCCTGCCTTACGCTCACTCTTGCCGGAAGAGTCTCCAGAACCCCCACAACCCTGAATTGGATGAAGTGGTTAGGAATCGGGCGGATGAATGAATCTTACCTGGTAGATGGCCTGTCGAAGGTCCCCCACAGTCTTGCGCCGGTCGAAAGCCAACGGCAGCACGCTGTCCTGAGGCGACGAACTCGGGTGCAAAGCCCCGTTTTCCACCTTGTAGTGTGGGGCCAGATGCAGACGCACCTCAATGGTGTTGCTGGACTCTTCAAACTCTGACCTATAGAGAGAACTATGCAAGTTCATATCACACTCTTCACCGCACAGTAATGACGGTCTATGTCCCAACACCTCTTGCAGCCATTCTTTTAAATACGATTGCACTGAACATATTAAATGCATAACCATCAAACAATATGACAAATTATATTTTGTGCAAAGAGGTTCTGAAGCCTTGCAGGTTACAGCACTGTCAGGCTATAGTATTTAAATACACTTTAATGCCCTGGTTTGAGTGCGTGCATGTTTGTGTCAGTGTGTGCCCTGCGACGGACTGGCGTTCCACCCAGGGAGTATCCTGCCTTGCACCCGTTGCTTGCTGGGATAGGGTGGATGAAGCAGTTATGGAATGTATGGATGGAAACGAGGTAAAATTGCATTATGCAACAAACGGTTATCTAGTATACTTCGAAATGGAACTCATTGCTTTCTTTAACAGCTCTCCACACACCAGCCCAGGAGCAGGGAGTATTATAGAGGAGGTTCTTAAAAGCCCTTTTAGTCACGTTCTCATGGCAACAGCTGCTACCTCATCCGCTGCAGTTTCTTGTTTTCTTCCTCAGTTTCTTGAAGCAAATGGACTGGAACTTTGTATCTTGGGTTCTTTCTGGCTGTGGAAAATACAAACCCCAGCGTAAATCGACCTCAGTTACAAAATCTGTAGAGCCCCCAAGGACCAAAAAACGTTTTTTCTACCTCTACTGCTGGAACAAATTTAGCACAGGTGTACAATGTTAGGCCATACCTTCCGCAGGCCTCCGGAGCTCGGCTTTCCTGTAGAACAGCATGTAGGCACTCTCCTTGCCCTGAAACTGCTTTTCAATGTCCTGCTCTCTGATGGGCTGCACAGAGGTGTCGTTCAGGTCGAACCAGTGGTGCTCATCACCCGGTACCGGCACCTCTGTCCTTTCCGGTGTAACTGGGTCAGCCTTCTGGCTCGGTTCTACAGCCTCCAGTCCATTGGGCTTGAGTTGAACTTGGGTGCCATTTGAAACCAACAAAAATACATCCGCATGGCTCTGGAGAAACTGGAATAGAAATGGGAGTCACAGTAAGAGATGGGCATCTGTAACACCAGAGGCTGTATTCATAAAACATTTCTATTAACAGAGATCTGGGTTTGGAGTATTATGCCACTTTAAAACATATAAGATCAGGTTCTGAAATCCAAAGATGGAAATCGCTACTGTGATGCGGTGCAAGGATGTGGTTTGTGAGGCTTTCCCTATGATTCTTGTCTGGGTTTTTTTTAAGCTGCCCCCTGCCCAAGATGGCGGGGTGCAGATCACAGGCAATTTAACAAGGCCCAGCCATCACTGGAACAGGATCAACTGCACATCCTGCTCCAGACAGGATAAACAGAGCGCCGAGCAGAAAAGAAGAGTGTTGACAAGGAGCCAATTCCAAGAAGGAACATTGTCAGATCACCCCACCGTCATCCAACACAGACCACATCTGTCCCTCCTTGGACGGTTTGCTGAGGACCGTTATTTTTGTACGAGGAGTACTTAATACAGCAAATTCTCCTTTGGCCATCTGCACTAAAATGGTTCTTCTTATAAAACCCTTACATAAAGCTCAATGAATATGGTACACTTATCACCTAGTGAGCACCAGCAGAGATAAAAGAACAATTGACTCCAGCTGTTATGTGGTTCTTTTGAAGAGGGCTTTTTTCTTTTCCAGAAGTTGCGTTTACATTCAATTTAAAAGTCCACTTCCTGTGGATATAAAATGCCACTCCAACCAGTTCATCAAAAATGATTTTTGTGGTTATATTGTATCTTTATGCCTGCATATAGAAGCTGTAACTTTTTTTTGTCCCCGAGCCTAAAGTGAATTTGCACTTATTAAATAAAACAATACATTTTCAGCTCAGCCGTTTCCAAAAGAATACTGTACATCCCTACTATCAATGTACCTTAACGAGAGCAGGCAGAATAGAATAGGCATCAGTCCAATGAATTGGAAAAATGAATTATAGGCTATTGAAAAAAATCCTTTCAGAAATTAATTAAAAGCCTTCCTCCAAGTCTCAGAACTCTGGTTTCATAACCAAAGTTCGAAAACAAAGGCACACCTTTCCGATTGGTCCGTGCTGTTTACGAAATTTTTTGTTCCAGGACACCCCAATTTTATCTAGTAGCTTTTGGCCCAACTGGTCGACAAGGATGGTCTTTGATTCTTCCTGCAGAGAATAACAAAAATCTTCAAGAACACAGCGACCGTGAGAGTACATTGGAACTAGAGGAAGAAGAAAATAAATGTTATTCTGGCATCTTGATGCAGCATGAGGAAAAAAAAAATCAAATAAGTGCTACTGGTTTGATTTCCTGCAGAGGGGAAGACTACCAGGCAAGCAACTGATGGATTCCCTTCCCACACAGGGATACATTCAGTTTAGCCATAATGAGAATTCAGGAAAGGTGGTCATAGAGGTTCAGGCCTAGTGATAGCATAACACAGCAGTAGTTCAGGTGGGTAGCTGCGTCAGCATGCATAGGCTGCAAAGGAACAAGTAATAGGTTTATTTCATGCTGAAAAAAAGACGAAAGAAAACAGGTTTCGGCTGTGGAGCCTTCTTCAGGTGTGAGGGTGTGTGCCCTCACACCTCAGATGTAGACAGATGTGGTGTGAGGGTGTCAGGTGTGTGCTCAGGTATGTTTTGGCTCCACGGCTAACGTTGCGTTTTCTTTCTTCTTTTTTCAGCATGGAATAGACCTATTACTTGTTCCATAACACAGCAGTGCCTAGTTATCTTCCTAGGCTTATCCACTCAGACCCCAGTGGGTATTTTCAACAATGTCAGGGTCAGAAAACACCTAGCCTCAACCTCTGAATCTCTTACATGGGACAATGATGAAATCACACTACCGAGCAGCGTTCCCGACCACAAAAAGCAGAAAATGCACCCATCAGATCCTAACATACAAAATTTCAGAAATGCTAAAGTCCGAAAATAAGCTGGTTTTCTTTGCTTTGGCGCATTTTAGCCAGCAGACATGAGCCACGCAGTGAGCCCTGTTGAAAAACGTTTCTGCACAGGGGACTCCAGAGTGGAGCACCGGATGAGCTTGTGTATTTTAGGCACGGCTACTTCAAGGCGTGGCGATGAGACTAGCATAGGGCTCAAAGCAGCAGCTATAGTGCCATGGTTTAAAACGACAGAGGGCACAACACTGAGTACACAACAGAAAAGACGTACAAAAATAAAGAAGAGAAAAATAACTTAAAAATATCCCATCAGTTAATGTATACTCAAGAGAGGCTAAAAAGGACAGAGCAGAACAGGCCCTTCTTCCTCAAGCACAAACGGGAACACAGACTGCTCTGGGAAGGCCTAAGGAGCTGAGCTGTACTGTACAGTCAGTGGGACAGTGCAAAGCAGTACTGACCTGAGACAATATGGCTTTCAGCACCGCCAGCGGGTCCTCTACTTCCAGCTCAGAATCAGGAGCTTTCACGTCTTTTTTTGGCAATTTTGGCTTGGCTTCTTCTTCCTGAACCTGCCACCAGCGGCAACAACAACAACAAAAAAAAAGACGATGGGCCGACAATTAGCTTCCTTTTTAAAACTGAAGCCATCTTGCGGTTGAAATGATTAGGCGGGCTTAGCCAAAATACAGTTTTCACAGTGGCAACATATTTTCCCAGCAAAAAATAAAGGGCGGGTTTTTTTTTAAAAACTGCAGGCGATTCTTTGAAAATGGTAAGCGTAGGATATTCTCACTGCTCTTGTCAAGCTGTCAACAGGGTAGAAATAATAAAGTTTCTTCATGAGCACTTCCTCAAGACCCTGGGTCTTGTCATTTTTTAGTTAAACTGTCTGTTTTTGCTAGCAAGTTTCTTTTATTCCTCATTACCCAAATTTTCATGATGTCATTATTGCTGTTGTTATTATTATAAGTTTGCGTTCAATTTTTCAAACTTCCCATATCATCTGCCTAGAGCCTACAGCAAAAAAACATTCTCCAGACAGCCGTTTTCCTGCTTTTTGACATTATAACCTAGCAGATAATATATACTGTATTTGTTAAAACTCTGAAGTGGTTATTATAGAGGGCAATGCAAAGTTTATGTTTATCAATGATTTTATTTTGTATAGCTTTAACAAAAAACAAACAAGTTCCACACATTTTAGCATACTGAATTATGTACATCTCCCTGTATGATTAATATCAACTGCTTGAGTAACAATACAATCATCTTTAAAATCGGTCATGAATTCTTCCTGTTTTGACAATTTTCAATACAGTAACTTCACTGCACAAGTACTCCAAACTACAGAACCAGTAGGGTGTTCCAAACCCGGGTCCTGTTGAACTATTCTGCGTTTTGCTCCAGCTGAGATCTCAATCCCAGATTAAGTGATTTTCATTTACTTATCGAGGCCGGTTTCAAAAGTGAATTCACTTAACTTTCTGAATGAATATTGATACACTGTCACTCCCTCCTGTGCCTGTCAGACATCGATCACTTATAAGTGACTGTTTAGTCAGAAATAAGATTAAGTGGAAAAGAGACTAATTAAAAGTCCGTAAGCTGATGTCTGAGGGCTCGAAATGAGAAAATTAAACATCTAAACAAGCAAGCAAATGAAAGTACTGGAAATCACTGGTGAACAGTTAACCCAAGGTGGAACAAAAACTAATGATCCCTCATAACCTGAGCTGGGGACCACTGTTCCAATGTATCCGTGCAAAAACACAGAGTCAACAGTAGCTTTGATGGACAACTGAAATCTGATGTAACACGCCTGAAAGAATTAGAGCAGAGCAAAGCATGAACAAAACGAAACTGCACTTCAACAGGATGGCCCTTTCGCAATAATGAAGAAAACATCATCTTAAAACAAAGCTGTTGTGCCGGACAGTCATCCCTGTCATGGAAATGATTTCTAAACTCACCGAGGTGTCTGTAAAGAAAGGAAAACTTGGGGAACCGAGATAATTTTGCCACAAGGATAGCGGGCAGGAATTAGGCAATATGTTCCCTTTGACAGTAAACACTCCCCATGCTATGACAAGTCTCCTTCATAATATTTTACGAATAAACTTCAAGTGGGAAAGTGACTGGAATGAACAACTAGTAATAATGCCTTCTCAGCTCTTTTTGATCATGCAATGTAAAGCTACTGCAAGGACAGAACAGCAAGCACATCGTCCTTTTAAACAAAACAAATGCATGAGTAACGGGGAAAAAAAGGTAACACCATCGTGTTCAATGCCGGATCCCTTGTCATACTTACGGGAGACTCCCAGTTGCCCAGTTGGTCGAGATCTTTGATATACACGTGGTAGTGTCCCCCATAACAGCCACCTTTGTGTATAATAACAGAAAAGAGTTCATATTCATACTCTGAGTCTGCCCGCTCTGCCTGTACAGAAGAAACAGAATGGGTTACAGGCATGCCAGCTAGTAAACAAGAGAATAACAACCACACAGTCTGGCTGCAGAGAAACATGAACTTGAGCTACCGAATTTGTGCCATGAACATCAGCCACCTCAACACAGACAGAAAAACACTACTTCAGATCTTACTATTTTCAATTTTCACAGGAAAGGCACAAAAATATTTCTTACTACATTGTTTGCACTTTCAAAATGATTTCACAGTTATCTAGACTGTTTAATGTCACCACCTGGTGGAAGAATGGGCTGATCACAGCTTAAAATGTCTCACTTTTAGTTTCATGGGATTCTTACTCAATATTTTTCTGATTCACTTTTTTAGGACATGACTATACAGTTCTAATTAAATTCAAATTAATATAAATAAGCTCTTTAACTATAATGACAAAAAGACATCAGAAAATGAAGGGGCATTAATGACATTTTAGACATCAAATGACATAAAAAAAACAAAAATTCAACTGCAGTTTTGATATGCTGTTTTGAATAAAGGGTGGTCAATAAAAAAAACACAATAAAATAATGAGAAATGTCATTTAAACCCAAGGGGAGTCAAGATCTATTCACAACAGAGGCTGAAGTCCACACAATTCTTGACTCCTAGTGTTGACCATGAGGTTTATCAGAGACAGACCAGTGTGTAAGTTTAATCTAGGTTGTGGGTGGTGATGTGAGCTGAACACTGATGAGTTCATGTGCAGAAGCAGCGACGATGTGCCACTGACGTTTGGAGAGGGTTGGGAAAAAAATATTTAAAACCCAACTTCAAAATGATTCAAGCATTCTGCTTGACACCTCCTCAGTGTTTCAAAGTTCTAAACATACTCAAACAGCTCCACCTGAAGGAGGGTTGAACAATGTGGGTTATGATACAGTACTTTTACCCCACAGCATACTAAAGGAATCAAAGGAGATCCCAGAATATGAAGTCTATCGCAAAACACATTGACAAGTAATTCAAAACCTGGACATTACTGGAAGACTCATCTCAGTTTAAATTATTGCAGGCTTTTACTGACCTATTACTCTATATTAACATATTAATAAAGCTTTATAAAGATAATATTCTATATCTATCTGTATTATACAGACCTAATATTCTATAACTCTAACATTATATTTTTGATTAATACATTTTATGCACCCATAACCCTCGGTCTGCTTCGGCCTGCTCACCAAACCTGTTACACGTGTAAAGTAAAGGGAGAGTCAATGAGTGTACTCAAGCCATTAGCGTGACGTATCTTTTGTGTCTCTGTTTTGCTAGGTGAGCACGGAACGAAACCCAGACGCATCATTGCGAAATTCGTCAAACGTGTTCCAGAACAACCACTGAGAAAACCGGGCGGATTCTGAAATGACTGAAACTGGGAAAATGGCAGATTGTTTCTATTTACACTAGACTCATTCCATTCAGCCATTTTACTCCTGTTTCGTGCTTCATTGGTACTACTTTTCCATTGGTATCCATGTTTTTCGACAACGTTCCAGGCAGTCTGCGGTCTCCTACCTGCTCACAGAAAGGCCGGAGGTTCATTCTGACGGGGAACGTGTATCGGCCTGTTTCCTTGTACCGCTCACATTTGGTAAAGTCAAAGCTGAACCTCAGCAGGGAGATGGTTAGAAAGGGAGGCAGCTTCCTCAGTTTAGCTGACTGCAAGAACAGGCACAAAGGAAGTGACAGGAAATGGGGAGGGAAGAAAAACTTAAAACTCAGCAGCTGGTGAACGCAAAATCCCAACAATCTCCATCCACCTTTTTCCAAAACCCAAACTGCTTTATCCGGTACAAAGTCTCGGGGGAAGTCGGAGCCTATCCTGGCAAGCTAATTCCTCCCATGGAATTGTTTTCAGCCTCAGCTTTGGTTAGCAGGGGACGTTTGGAAACAAACATTTAATGGGAAAAGGTAAAACATAATTAAAGTGGCCTTCTGCACCACTCTGCACTCACCCTTATTCTCTATAGTGGGCACATCTAACTCCACTCCTAGTGAGCCCCAATACACAGCAAGCTTAGTATGTGGCCACTAAACTACCAATTTCTAAAGATCTCGGACACTTTAACTGATATCAATTAAACCAAAGAGGTGTGAAATTTATTAAGAGACCATTCCGAACAAAAATCAAAATAACAGACCCTAAGTTACCAAAGACCCTTCATCTAAACAATATGTGAGTTTAATTCATGAATGGCTTACCGGCAATCCCAAACAGGTGAACTACCTGCACACCTGCACTACCTGGATACCTGGGGCGGTATCAGTGGCTCCGTGGCTAAGGATCTGCACCGGTTGCCGGTTCAAATCCAGCAAATGGCAGAGGAATCCTACTCCGTTGGGCCCCCGAGCAAGGCCCCTTAACCCCAAACTGCTCCAGGGCCGTCGTTTAAAAGGCAGACCCTGCACTCTGACCCCAAGCTTCTCTCCCTGTCTGTGTGACTCATGGAGAGTAAGTTGGGGTATGAGAAAAGACAAATTCCTAATGCAAGAAATTGTATATGGCCAATAAAGTGATCTTATCGTCTCTCTATAGACTAAGGGGACTGGGACGCTCCAACCCTACACTTTATAAAGTGCACACATGACCAACGGATACAACTGACTGTTTTGCACCTCCATCAACCAGGCATGAGTTGAACTAGTCTTAATTGATCACAGGTATTATAAATGAAAAGAGTAAAATCAGATGAGTATTGATTCTATCATTTCCTCTAAATCTCAGCAGCTCATGCCTCTGTTGGTGGGATATGGTCTACTAAAATCAATCTAATACAAGCTCTGGCCCCTCTTACCTTGGCCGCCGTGACCAAGTTGCCACAGCAGCTACAACGATACAGGTTATTGCCCTCAAAGAACTCCTCCTCCACAAACATGCTCCACAGCGCCTCCAACAGGCCGCTCAAGCCTTTCACCGACACCGTCAGGTCCAGAATGTCCTCCTGTAACACCCCAAAAGTTACATGAGGACACGAGCTGAACGTCTTGATCCGCTCACCTCTCCGTTCACACATTTCTGTAAAAACCCTGCATGAAGGAAAAGGTGTAATACCAGCAGATACAGTGTTTTACAAGAGAGGTTTACAGAGTTCCAACACATGCCTGAAGAAAAAAAAAAATCTACAGACACGTGGAAGGTTGGCCAAGGTCAACAACACGTCTCTTAAAAGGCCAGGGGCACCATCGTTCGTGACAGCCCTTGAGGGTGTGCTGGACAGACCTGTCTCTCGCTGACATTGCCACACTCCTTGCAGACAATCTGATTGACGACTGTGCCGTGGTAGAGACGGCTTATGATATCACTCCCTGACGTGCCGACCAGAGAGCTTTCCAGGGCACTGAACAGGATCCGGTTCAGCTCCTGCACATCCTGCTGGCTTGTCTCCTGTGAGAGAAATCCCACGGATTCAGGAAAAAAAAAAAAAGCAGGATAGAGCAGTGGATCGGAAAGAGACGAGCAGTAGTTTTAAACAAGGTCCGACTACACAACCTGTATAGAACCATTTATTGTATTTAAGGCTACTTACAATTTATCTAACAATTTTCAACTTTGAACACCATAGAAACCAGAAATTTTCCCTCTACTATACACCTAGTTTTGTTAAAGACTTGAACCAGCCAGAGGGGGAAACAATTTCTCATAAGCCTTTTCCAAAAAAATATTCTCTTTAAAATGTTCTCATTATGCTCAGTTTAATTTAAGTTTCATGCAGTTCAAAAATGCAATCTCTGTTAAGCATGTCAGATGGGCAAAGGACATCCTTTCCTTACAACCTAATCATGTCACAATTATTTTAATTTTTTTCCTGTAATTATAAGATATTAACAAACAAAGATTTAATCTTTATTCCTGGTCACAGAAAGTCAAATTGAATTCTGTTTTGCACGCTTCCCAAGCTCTTAGTGGCTTAATTAAATCAATTACTGACTGAAATGTGTCGGTCCTTAAGGAGGTTCCGTACATGCTGAAATATTGCGGACAAGGAGATTAATGGACGGCCTTGATGTTCAACCCTTAACTTTTTAAATCAGTCCCTTGAATGCAAACTGATCATCTTCAAACACCATGTTAAAATGCGTGACCTTGACACAAACTTAAAATGGCCTACATATTACCCCTAGTATCCTATCGCTTGGCATTGCGCGTTCTGCAAGGATAGATGAAGAACTTCATGTAGAGGCCTAATGCATACATGTTCAAGTAGGTAGCTGTGTCACTGTGTCAGCATGTGTAGGCTGCAAAGGAACAAGTAAAGGTTCATTCCATGCTGAAAGGAGAAGAAAAGAAGCACAACGCTTCGGCTGTGGAGTCTTCTTCAGGTGTGAAGACCTTCTACAGCCGAAACGTTGCGTTTCTTTTCTCCCCCTTTAGCACGGAATAAATTTTCACTTGCTCCTAATGCATACATGGATGTGAAATGCTGAAGGAAAACTAGGCAATTCCACCCGACAGGAAGGGTTTATATAGCAGTGTGAAAGGATTCCATCAGAACACTCCTAACAGCAGCCAGCAGCCATATCACCCTGCAACTCACAACCGGCAACCCACTGAAGCTCAGCAGGTGTGAGCCTGGTCAGTACCTGGATGGGAGACCTCCGGGGAAAAACTAAGGCTGCTGCTGGAAGTGGTGTTAGTGGGGTTAGTGGGGCGCTCACCCTGTGGTCCATGTGGATCCTAAAGCCCCAGTATAGTGACGGGGACACTATACTGTAAAAAGGCGCCATCCTTCGGATCCTGACTCTCTGTGGTCATTAAAAATCCCAGGGTGTAACCCCAGCATCCTGGCCAAATTTCCCATTGGCCCTTACTAATCATGGCCTCCTAATAATCCCCATCTATGAATTGGCTTTATTACTCTGCTCTCCTCCCCACTGATAGCTGGTGTGTGGTGAGTGTTCTGGCGCACTATGGCTGCCATCGCATCATCCAGGTGGGGCTGCACACTGGTGGTGGAGGAGGGGAGTCCCCATTACCTGTAAAGTGCTTTGAGTGGAGTGTCCAGAAAAGCAAGCATATATTATTATTATTAACAGCCAATGGTAAGAGCAGAGGAATAGGGCTTCCTGCAGTGCTTCACTGTACCTCATTACTGGTCCATCCAAAGCTATCAGTGAGGTCTGCTGTAGAGGCAGCCTGCTGATCCACCAACAAGAGGTAAGCAAACAGCCTCTGCAGCTCCAAGGGGATCACTCTCACCTGGAGACAAAAACCAAGAGCATGAGAGCTGTATGGGAACAGATGCAAAACGTATACGGAATGGGAAAAGGAAAAGTTAATGCCACGCTGATAGAACAAAACTGATGTTTTGGCCGCAAAGTTTTCTTTGTGTGCGTCAGAAAACCCTTTTAAGCGTGGAATTAACCAACCCGTTCCATTGCAGTCCCCCTTTCTTAACTCCAGAAGACAAAAGTCCGCCAAACGTGCCTGAACAAGCACTCCTAGAGTCAACAAGTCTAAGCTTTGCGATGCAGGGGGTGTAATGGATTAAACTTCATTTTGTAGTGTAGAAAATGATAGGGTGACATTAAGGCAACCTGGGTAGCATAGTGGTTCAGTGGTTAACACTGCTGCCACACGGCGCTGGCGTCCTGGGTTTAATTTAAAAAACTGGGGTGTTGTCTGCGTGGAGTTTGTAGGCTCTCCCTATTTTTGTGTGGGGTTTTTCGCCACATACTCTGGTGTCCTCCCACAGTCCAAAGTCATGCTGCCAGGTGAATTGGTTTCTGGGAAAACTGGCCCTGTTGTGAGTGTGTGTCTGTGTTTGCCCTGCGATGGACTGGTGTCCCATCCAGAGCGTATCCTGCCTTGCGTCCGCTGCTGGCCAGGATAGGCTCTGGCACCTCCACAACGCTCAATTGGAAGAAGCAGTAGGAAAATGGAGACACAAAAGGCAACCCTGACTACACTAAGAAGCTCTTTACCCTTTACTGTCTATGGACATAAAACCGAGATCCTGACTCACCACAGTCACTAAAAATCCCAGGACATTTCTCGAAAAGAGTAGGGGTGTTACCCCGGTACACTGGCCAAATTTCCCCCTGGCCCTTACCAATCATGGCCTCCTAATAACCCCTCCCATCTATGAACTGGCTTCATTACTCTGCTCTCCTCCCCACTGGTGATAGCTGGTGTGTGGTGAGTGTACTGGCGCACTATGGCTGCCATCACATCATCCAAGTGGGGGCTGTGAAGAGTGTATTAATAAGTGTATTATTATTACTCCTACTCCTACTACCTTGGCCTCAGGCTTGTCCTTGTCTGACAGATAACCCAGCTCTTCTGGTCCCAGACTGAACAGCACCTCTGTAAGAAGTACAAAAAAAAAACTGAGGACGAAACATGACAAAAACCACAGTGAATTCAAACAAGACATGGTGTACTATGACTGGTGAAAAAGACAGGTAGGACCCTTTCTCTTTTCATATGTTTGATGTATCAACATATGTTTATATTTGGTGTATGATATGATATTTAATATTATATTTTAAATATCACATAATCATTTTACACTGCTAGTTTTGTATTATTGACCATAGAGAAGAGATTCAGTGCAGTGGTGCCTCAATACTCTTGAACACTGTCATTCTGAAAAGAATCAAGAACTCAAAAGCAGAACAAAAATGTGGGGAAAAAAAGCAGCAATATTAGGACATGCCAACTAAAAGCAGAACCAACCTGAGCAAATCAGACGAGTCAGTAACTTGAAATGAAGACTACTGATTGACCATCTGCTCTCTGAAAGATCCGCCGTTATCAGTTAAGGGAATCGGGTGCCAAATGACAGCCGTGCGTGAAATGAAAAACTCAGGAAGGCGTGTAAAGTCACGTCACTACATTTTTACCGAAGTGCCATAGCTCACCTCTGAACTCGGGTGTGAAGAGCAGCGTCTGTAGCAGGGAATTGAGGTAGCAGGTTCCGCCTTGATTCCTGATCCCAGACAGATTGACCATTCCCCTCGGCGGAGGGGGCTCGCTGTTTTTCCCCTGACATTTCCTGCCATCGGAACTAGTGCTTTGGGGCACAAATGCTGCGTCGTCTTCTTCGAACAGGTTTCCGAACATGCCCGGCAGTGCGAAAACTCAACGCCCCACGCCAAAAAAATAATAATAATCTGATATTCAATTTTAAAACAAATCAAGTTTCTCCCGCAAATACCTTATCTTATACTTGTATTTGCACACTGCTCTGAAGATTCAGTGACAACTGAAAAAGGGCTCATAAAACTAAACATTGAAACCGCCGAGTTAATTGTTATACGAAGAAAAGCCGACTGCTGTGAAGTCAAAATAAAAGTTTTTGGTGCAAAAATGCCATGTTTCACCAAAAGACATTCATCATTTTATTGTCGCGCTTAATTTTATTCCACGTGCGATGCTCAAACGCCCCTTTTTTGTCTATAACCTCATATTTAGCATGTCGGTTTTTTAAATGGTCAAGAATTTTGATGAAAATTACGAAAAAGAATCATAAACATAACATAAACACCCACTTTATTCCTAACTAAAATCATACGAAACTTCTTATCTAAAAATATTTAAGTATTTTATTCAGAGTACTTTTGGGCAGTATTTAAATTTTATTAAAATAAAAAAAATAATTCAAAAATTATTTGCAATGCTTCCTAGTGGTGCTTCCAACAGTGCCCGGCTGACTACAGTTCAATCGTGCTGGTGAGCAATTCTCCGGGGCTTGAAAAAACCTTCGGATTTGCTTCATTAAATCTTTCAAAGTTGCACGTTACCTTTCAACAGCTGCTTTGCATGACAGTTTATTTTTAAAATGCGGATTGAAAATCCAGGAGGTAAAAAAAACAGCCGTGGATTTAAACAACGTTCAGCTCACTCTCACAGCTGTCTGTTCCTAGACGAAACAAATCTCAACTACTTTCATTTCCACTGAAACGAAGCACAGAACGTAAATAAAAATACCCATCGTGTGTGCGGCCATGTTTTTTAAGCAGAAGCGGACGGCATCGTGATGCCCTCTGGTACTTGTAGTCTAGGGGGCCTATCTGAACCACCAAATCAATCTGAAGCGCTTTGTTCAAGCAACTTCAAATCCCAGCTGTCTCTCTTAAAACCGACCATGTGTGCCATGCGTGCCGGTGTGTGTAGTGTTCTCTTTAAACTTAGTGAAGACTGAGTGCCGTTTTCTTAAAGTCATGCTTACACTGTTAATTTAAATAACCATTCACACACGCCGTCAACTGAAACAGAAACAAAAATGTCGATACCGCTGGCCATAGTGCCATCAAATATGTACCGTGTCCGTGATAATTCATTGTCCATGGTCTCATTTTTACGTGTATCAAATTCTAATTTTAATTGTTCCATAGTGCAGTTTTTTTTTTCAAATAAACTGATCTAGCAAAACACAAAATAAGTACAGCACACGAGTGCTTGATGAAAGACAGGCTAAGCATACACAGACAATCAATCAATTTCATGCAGATTGGCTCTCTGCCTTGCATTACTGACTCGCAATACTGGGGCTCTGGGTTCAATTCCTGAGGTGCTATCTCCATGTGTTTTTTGTGGGTTTCCTTTGGGTGCTATGATTTTAATCCCACAGTCCAAAGACATGCTGATGTGTTTGTCTCTCTCTGCTCTGTGATGGACTCTCATATTCTGCCTTGTGCCCATTGCTAGCCAGGATTGGCCCGGGCGACAATGTGACCCTGAATTGGACAAAGTGGTTAGAAAATGGATGTATGTAGACATGTACTCAAATATACATCCATACCAAACCCGACACTGACGTGGCTGTCTCTATTCTATCTAATTGCATCTCTGACATAAAAATTTGGATGACTCAAAACTTCCTTCATCTTAACTGTGACAAGACTGAAGTCATGCTTATTGGTACCCCCCATCAACTTCGTAAAGCCAGTCCTGTAACCCTGTCTGTAGATGGCTCTGTACTTGAGCTTCAATCAAAATTGAAAAACCTTGGGGTTATATTCGATTCTGGCTTAACATTCGACCCACATGTACAGCATACTGTCAAAACATCTTTTTTTCACCTTAGAAATATCGCAAGACTACGCCCTATGCTATCATTAACTGTGGCTGAAAAGCTGATCAACATCTTGTATTCTCTCGAATTGACTACTGCAATGCTCTGCTCCCTGGTGTATCTAAATCTACTCTGAACAAGCTGCAGTATGTCCAAAATTCAGCAGCCAGAATCCTGACCAGGTCTAGTACAAGTGTTCACATTACTCCTATCCTGGAGTCCTTGCACTGGCTTCCGGTCAAATTCCGCGTAGACTTTAAAATCCTCATGCTCACCTACAAGGCTTTACATGGCTTGGCACCTCAATACCTGTCTGAACTTTTATCGCCCTACTCCCCACCTCGCAACCTCCGCTCTTCAAATTCTGCCCTCCTTACTGTCCCCCAAGCCCGTCTACATTGTATGGGCGACAGGGCCTTCTCCTGCTATGCCCCCAAGCTCTGGAACTCTTTGCCCAAGGATATTAGAGAGTCACCTTCTCTAAACTCCTTCAAATCCAGACTCAAAACCTTCTTCTTCAGAAAAGCCTTTACTTAACTGGTTCCATTCTTCACCCCTCTGCTCTTCTTAATACCATCTTCCACGGTCTCCTCTATTGTTATTGTTGTATTGTTGTAATTAAAATTGTGTCCTGTCTTGTGAAATTTTCTTATTTATTGTTGTAGTCTTCTTATTTATTGTTATTGTCATCCTGTAAAGCGCTTTGAGAAGCCACCTTTAAAGGCGCTATATAAAATAAAGTTTTTTATTATTATTATTATTATTGTATGTCATCTTGAATATAGCCATCACCTATATTAAATACACAAACAGGACGCAAGCTTACATCAGTGGAACTCTTTCAAAGCAACAATCCAGAAAACAAAGGAACAAGTTATAGGTTTATTCCATGCTGAAAAAAAGAAGAAAGAGAACACAACGTTTCGGCCGTGGAGCCTTCTTCAGGTGTGAGAGAGACAGGGCAGTAGGCAAAGGTAAAGTAGCGGGAGAGCAAAGGTTGGGAGGGAGGAGGAGTGAGAGGCGGGAGCAGGGGACAGAAAGAGAGGCCAATCAAGAGGTATGAAGTCAGAATGGGTGCAGAGAGGTGTGAAATGAAACTTCCAATGAATGGAGAAAATTTAAAAGAACAGTAGTCTGTCGTTAAGGGAAGGGAGAATGTGTGATCCTAACTGCAGAATAATTTTAGTTTCGGTGGTCTTTCTGATGTATGAGTTCGGAAAACCGTCTTTGAGAACATCCAGAAAACAGACTTCTATGCATCTCCTGACATTTTTCCTCCCGTCCACTAAGCGGCGCTGTTTAGATTTAAGACGTGTTCCAGGTATGTATTTCTCTTTTTTTTTCTGTTTTCGATGGAGGTTAAGGGTTGAGTCGGTGAATTTGAATCCGGTTAAAAATGGTTTTGTAGGCAATAGTGAAGTAGTTTGGAAAAGTTGTTTTTAATAGTATGCGTTCCCCGGGAAAAAAAATCAGGAAATAAACTGCACCAGGAAATCGGACATGTCACGTCCATTTTTCTGTTTTACATTGGGTACATTAGGAGATCATGTCAGTGATCCGTCACGTCTACAGATTGAGCCATAGTTGTTAGCCCTGGTAAGTCACAATTGAGCCTTTTGTATAAGTAAAATTATCCAGGAAAAAAATGATTTCAGTGACACCGTAAACTGTACGAATACGTTCTGTAATGACATCCTTGCAAAACAAATCCCGAACACAAGTCTTAACGTAGTGCATCATGTTTGTTGTTTTATTTTTTTTTTCATTATTTGCAAGTGCTAGTTGTATAAAAAAAGTACCTCCGTTGATAGACGAGGTTAAATTAATTTGATAGGTTTCAGGATTTTACTGATCTTTACTTGCACTAAGTGAGACGCGCTTAGAGAGTGAGCTTTTATTTAAGGTTAGTAGTTGTTATTGTTTTTTTTTTTTCATCACTTCTGTTATGTCACATGCTACCCACATTTCCTGGCTCGGAATCCAAGGTAATGTGCGCACATTGATTGAAAACTGCAGACTAATAGGGGGCATTTCATTTCATGGGCTTAACTTCTCAGTGGGTAGGCGCGATGTACTTTACCTTAGGAATCCGTTGCCTTTCATGGTCTACATCAACAGTTTAGAGTCTGGAATGGTCAATGTAATTAATCATGCAGATGCGAGTGTGTAAGTGGCAAAAAACCGACAAGGGACTTATAAAAAGACGTGGATTCCATTAAATTGACAAAATCGTGCTTGGGTACGTGGTAAGTTAAATGTACCACTTAGGGACTTGTGTTCAGTTATTTACTATGCCTTCATCAATGGGTCAATTCAGATTAAATCTGCCCCCCTAAAAAAAGACCCGTTTGTGACGTAATCCCGGTTTTATTTTAACAAGCAGTTCCCTAAATGTTTGCCCTTGGGAGAAAGAGACCATTCAGCATTCAGGAGACACGTGTGCTCTAAAGATTACCATAGAAGGGTGATTTTGATACTGTTTGAAAGCCTATGATCAGGCATGTAAAAATGTTTAATAATTTGTTAAAATTAGTTATGAAAACGGGGTTATTTGACCTTTCATCTCAATTTATAAACTCATATTTTCTTGTAATTTTCAGATTTATTATACTTTAGACCCTTGCTCTCATCTCATGAAGTTTTTGTGCCCACCATTGAGTCACAACATACACTTGAATACAGTTTGCAAGGTCAGGTGTGTTCAAACAGATCAAGAGAAGCCATGTGGCTGTGAGGTTCTCTTTGCAACCAGTGTTCTGGGGCTTCTGCTGCTTTGCTCATCTCTTCTGGACTCAGCATGTATATTCACACTCTGCTCTCCTCCCCACTGAGAGCTGGTGTGTGGTGAGCGTACTGGCGCACTAGGGCTGCCAGGTGGGGGCTACACATTGGTGGTGGTAGTGGGATTCCACATTACCTGTGAAGTGCTTTGAGTGGAGTGTCCAGAAAAGCGCTATATAAGTGTATCAATTATTATTATTAACTGTGGTCAGTTCTCCAGTTTGATTTATCTTGACTGAACCGTGACGTGAAAAGCTTGTTCTCAGCAAGCCTTTGGGCAATCAGGGGTTCAGGGATATGGGATATCTCCCTTGTTGTGGAATTTGGTTCTGCTCTGGATTGCAACCCAGTTCTTGTAGCTGTTCATTTAATTGTTTCTCCATCCCAAAGTCATTTTCCATGTGCCGTTGCAAAGAACTTTGCTAAAACTAAGTTTTATGTGGTGTGGTGTCTCAGAGAAGTGAGACGCACTGAGGCCTGTCATTCTGTTGGTTTCAGCTCCTGCTAGATAGCATGGATACCAGCCAGCTGGTTGGATGGGGAGAGGAGAAGCAGGAGATCAAGGCCGAGCTCTCCAAGCTGCAGAATCTGTTAGCTGAGAGCCGGGCAGAGAGAGACGAACTGGAGGCGAGGAACCAGATTCTGAAAGACAGAGTGAGTGATTCTTGGGTGTTTGTGTCCGATACCAAACCATGGACAGTGCAGTCTTAGTCTTTTCATGCTCCGATCTTTGGAGTCTGAGAACATGTTTTCTGCTCACACTCAAAAACCCTTCCTTGGTTGGCCCAGTGCTATTGCTGTCCTTCATGAACAAACTAGATCAAGCTCATATGGAAGTCTTGAATCGGCACACGATGGTCTGTATTCATTAATATGCTATTCTATAATATAAGAGAATATTAATATTTATTAATAGTAATGTCATTTTGTGCTGTGCTACGTTTTACCACTGTTTAGATTTTTTTCTTTTGGGGCATAACACAAAAACATGTTGGAAAGTATCACAGCCATTTTCCAATCTATTAAGAAATATTATAATATATGTTTTTAAGTATTTCTCTTGGAATTTGTAACATTAAGGGTTTTGTCTTTGTCTTTTTACAGTAAACCTAAAGTGAATGATTTATGAATATGGTCTGATGCCTTTGCTTAACTCTGTTCACCAAAATAATTTATATTTTTTGCCAGCTCACTTCCTGTTCCTCAGATACACTTTATGTATTCTACCTATGTTCTGTGTGATTTATCTAATGGTGCACAAAACAAATAGTTTTATTCTTTTGACTTGGGGGAGTTATAATTACAAGTGGTGAGTTATTGCATATTGTTTCCTCTGCATTAGTTATCAGGTCATTCCAGTTACTCAACCCTTTTATAGTGTCAGAATATCTAGTTTGCAATGCATAAAGATGACAGTTTTATGTATTATTTTATAAATATTGCAGAGTATGAGTTGAGACATGATATACTCTTTTGTTTTGAACCTTGTCGTAGTCCTTCGTAAGTAATAAAATGCCATTTTCTTTTACATTCCTTCCAGAAGGGGATCATGAATCAGCCAGGGTTGGAATTTGTTTTCTTCATTGCCACTAAAGTCATCTTCCAAAAAATCAATGCTGTCATTGCTGCACTGGAGCTCTGTGGGGCCTCACAGTTACACAGTGACGTGCTCTCTCTCCTCAGCTCTCTGTCTCTCTGGACCCGTCTCTTTCTCTGTCCCTCCGACACCGGCTGGACTGTGACCAGCGGGAATTCAGGAGGAAACTGCGGGAATGTCGGGAGAGGGAGGGGAGACAGGCCGTGCTTGTGCAGAAGCTCCAGAATAAAGTAAGTGCGGGGGACATGGAGAATGATTGCAGTCGGTGCTGCTCGGTTTCTCAGAGCTCCTACAAGAGACATTTCTCGTGTTGATCTGGTCTTTTGAAACAATTAGAGAGAGAATGAGGAAAGCAGAGCTGAGAGAAACATACGGGAAACTGTGATCACAGAGTGTTATGCTTTGCAATTTGAGATAGTGAAGAAAAGATTCTGCTTGAAGCTCCAGACTGGTGTGTCCTAACATTAATTATAAATAAATAATGAACTATAAACGATGTGAAATCACCGTTTAAAATGTTTAAAACCAACAAAGAAGAAAGCAACTTGCCTTTATATTCTGTCCTAAATATTATTAGCATAGAAGAGGCAAAAGTGTTTCCTGCACTAGAAACACTCACGATCTCCAGAGCCTGATGGTATCCTGCAAATTGTACTCAAGAAATTGAGAGATGTTATTCATAAGCCATTGACACAACTCTTTCAATAGTCAATCAAGACAGGGGCAGTACCTACAGTATAGATTGGAGAATTAGTAATGTAGTGCCCAACCATAAGAAGGGTGACAAAACTGAGTCAAATAGAGATTAATAAATATATCTGACATCTATTCCACTTCAGGTAATGGAACCTATAATTAAAGTTAAATTACAGAATCATTTACATGAAGATAAGATCCTAGGTTATAGTCAACACGGATTTAGAAAAGGCAGGCCTTGCTTAACTAGCTAGTTAGAGTTCTTTGAACAAGCATAACAAGTTTCTCTTTGAAGCTTTGAGCTTGAAAGTAATTAAGACCTCACGCAAAACTGACAAACTTGAGATAGAAGGAGGTAGAATTCTAAAATGAGATAGAAAAATATAAAGGATAGAAATGAGATAGAAACCCGGAAATAGGAAAAACTTGATTCAAGAAGTGATTCTTGATGCACATTAATACAGGGGGTTGGTTCTCCCTGCTAGATCAGTACCCTTTTGCAAGTTGTTGAATGCTCTGTCTTTTAGGGTGAATGTATGTATGTTACTATGGAGTATCTGCTAATATGGGCAATTTTTAATCACGTGCAGCCTGCATGGTTAAAGAAGTGTTATACAGGTATGTTAAGTGGTCTGATTAACGGAGAAAGGGGGAGATGAGTACAGGAAGGGAGAGTCAGTCATTTTCCTAGACTATTTGAGGTTAGCAGTTTCAAGAAGTACATCTACTGTGATCCCCCTCATGGGATAAAAGAATTGGGTCTTGGTCGTCTGATCCCGGAACGTCTCTGATCAGCTCAATCAGCCCAACGGTGTCGAAACAACATTGTATTGCTCCAGCGTGCAACAGGGGGTGTCTGAGTCGTTCCCTTTTCTCCCAGGTGTGCGAGTACCGAGCCCGTTGCCAGCAGCTGGAGCAGCAGCTGATGACCAAGGACAGCGAGCTACGCCACAAAGAGGTGCCTTGACACTGGGAGGGGGCCATCCAGCGCCCTTCTGAGACCGGCACGTTTATAACGGGGCCGCGTCCGATTGCACTCAGAGCTGTGACAGCAGCAGAGCATTTCATTTCGGATGTGGATTTCTTCGCTGCTTTTGTCTGTGCGTGCTATATGAAGACGGTCTGTTGAAAATTCACCCTCCCTGAGCCCTTTCAAATCAAGGCTCAAAACTTTCAGTAGAATGCTCTTCTTTTAATTGCTTTACTTTTCTACTGTATTCCAAACTCTTTTTGTAATTGTGTAATTCTGCTGCCTCCTCTCATTGTGTTGGAGGAGCCACTTTTAAAGGCGCTATATATTAATAATAATAATATTTTAGAAACTGCTGTAGTTCCAGGATACCGCCATGTTAAACCCCCTTTTCTTTTGCTAAGGCATATGTACAGTAAGTCACTGTTATGTGCTTGGAAAGTGTTGGGTTTTGGACAACAGTGTGCCTTGCTCTTGGCCTCACACTCGTCTTTCTGATCTTGTTCATGTTACTTTCTGGAGCCTGTAGGAAGATCACTGAACCTGCTGGGAATGCACTTACACCCCTGAGTCAACGAAAAAGAAAAATTGACTGAATGAGATGGTTACCTGTTCAAGCAAAGTTGTTTTCTAAGTCTAAAGAAACACGGTATTGGAGGTTTTAGCTATTACCAAGACACCTTTATTCATTTTTTTTTAACAAAAGGATGTTCTGTAGAATGTTTGCAGATGATAAAACATGCTTGATTTTGTTTTATTTCTGGTAGATCTGGAAAAAGAATGAAAAACTGGAGGCTTCCAAATTGGCATAACTCTTTGACATTATTTCACTTTCCCCGACAATTGCCTGACTGTACATTCTCTCATTGCTAAACAACACTCCTTCTCTTGTTGTAGATGAGAATTCGAGATGAGCACAGTGGCAGTTTAGAGAGCGCCCTCATCAGGTTGGAAGAGGAACAGCAGAGGTGAGGAGGATTTCTTCTTCAAGGTTGATGGAATACAAAAGACGGAATTCTGAACCCTCAGTGCTGAATCCTCTAAAAACAGAATCGTGGCTCTTTGTAGTGTCCAGTGGCTCTTTGAAAACTCGGCAATAAATGAGCAGTGTGTAACTGAGACTAAAGGTGAAAGACTTCAGGATATCCTGCCTTCCCGGCTCTCTCTCTCTGCAGGTCTCTGGGGCTTGCTGAGCTGAACGCACTCCTGCGCGGTCAGCTCAACCAATCGTGCGAAGTGAATGAAGCCCTGAGAGAGGATCTGGGGAAGCTGACAGCTGATTGGACAAGAGCCGTAGAGGAAGTGGGACTGAAAGAAGCCGACTGGCAGAAAGAGAGGGAGGTAAAGAGCACAAATACATCAGGGAAAACATAATTCAGTCTCCAAGTCAATCCCCAAGCCAATCCGAAGCAGAAAGATTGTGTCTGAAACAGGTTTTTCAGAAGCAAGAAAGTCAGACCTTCACAGATTTAACTAAATGAAATTATTTTGCACATCACTCTATTTGTATGTAATAATGAAGGAATATGTATTTTTCACTAGAATTCTGTATTTTACAGTCTGTAGAAATGATTGTTTTCTCCAATGAATTGATATATATAAATTTAGTTGCCCTAGTATAGCTCAAAAACTGCTGTTTTAGTGTGTATACTTGTCATTGCTGGAGACTTGAACCTCTTGAGTCTTATTGGGGAAGAGCCCACATTGATCAGTCCATGGAAGTATTGAATCAAATTATTTTAGAGTTGAAAGGACTTGTCTGATAGCCAGTTATACCTGCTCATCTCTGTGCCCTTTCAGTTGCTGACAGCTCACATTAGCCATGAGCACGATCGCCTGCTGTCTCTGTGGAGAGAAGTAGTGGCTTTTCGGCGTCACTTTCAGACCATGAAGACTGCCACTGACAGGTACAAAATCCACACCCTGGGCTCTTTTCAATCAGAAAAGG